GCTGCCTTCTCCAGAGAGTTACTTCTCTACTGTTTTTGCCAGGAAAGCACAGGAGCCTTCATTGAAACCAACTGCCTCTGGGCTCAATTAACTACCATAGATTACTCATAATGCAGATGAAAGACTGCATATGACAGCGTGTTGATGTTGGAAAAACGTGCGAACACAAAGTGGATGCATTCGTGGATACAGACCAAATGGACACTGATTGTGAGATATGGGATCAATGCATAGATTATAAAAAAGCCTCCACACAAATAGCAGCAACAATAACAACAAAGTTATTATGCTGATAATGATAATAGACACTGTTGTGTGCACATGTTTGTATCTTGTGAGATTATTTTATTAGGCTCTGTGCACTACGGTAAGGACAGAATGACTAAAACTCAATTATAATAAGCTATAGCATCGGTTAATATTCCTCAACTGTCTTTTCACATTGAAAATGTTCAGTTCATATCAAGCAACACTGGCTGGCACCTACTTTTTATACATAAATTACTCATCACTTGTAAAAACTGGTATTTTTAAATGGATCCCAGAGTATTGTTTATGATGCTGCTGGTTATCAAAGTGAATATGCTAAGCGCTAGAGAATTTACAGATGGCATAAACCTAAACACTGAACAAACCCCCCACTGTGAAGGGAATATGTTAACCATATTGCTCGGAGAGATGGCGTGATGACTTTCATGGATAGCTTTCAGAAGTGTGCACATTATTGTGAAACTACAGGAGAAATCGCATGATTAGACAGCGGAAGCTTAAACATGCACGTCCCGGCAGGCTAACTGCTTCAGTAATGCAGAAGAGTAGTTAATGAGATAAGAAGGACCATGATCAAATGCGAAGAGCAAGCTATTCAGAATCAAGTGCACAGAAGAGATGTTGTTGAAATGCACTTGTTAACACGGTTGTAAGAATGTTCTAGATTTTCTTTTCTTCTAATGGAACCATTAATTCTTTTACTATCTCATCCAGCATAGTAGTGCATGAGTAAATATTCAATCTGTCAGTCAGTTAGAAGTGATCATTTTGCTCTTATCCTCAGAAATGACCTGTGTGTTCAGACCATTGTTTATCACGTACAGGCTTTTTTATTGCTTGTTTTTTTAAGCAATTGCCCGATTACCCGTGTCATTTCCATCCTTCCACTTAACAGTCTGTGACACAGCCAGCAAAACAGTGCAGGAACGCACTGGCGTATAAGTAATTGTGCATCAGGCAGCAATGGATTGTTGCTATAAAATGAGTACCAAACTATTTTTACACATCACAAAACACTTTTATTCTACGTTAATAAAAGTCATTTAAAGAGCCAAAAAGATACCCGGAAACCTACTGAAATGGGAAATATGAATCTTCCATAAAAACATTTGGAATTGACCTTTATGCACAACTGTAATGGACTAAAGTGTGCAATGAAATGGAGCTGAATCTAAAATCTTTGACGTAAACATGTCACAGCCCTTTAGCTGTCTCTCAGCTCGCCTCAGTTCAGCTTGTAAGGTGACAGTCACCTTCATGCTGCATCAGGGAACAAATGAATCACAACACAGGTAAGAGACTCTTGGCATGTCATCCTGTATGACACTGAATACTCCTCAACGTTAACATACTGAGAATACAAGTGGTTAGGGTAAATGATCGACTTGCCTGTTGAGGTAGCCAGCGTCCCAGTGTGCGCCCAGAATAAACTAGGGCAGTTTCTTTACCCCTTTTTGTACCTTTCTCCTGGTACTGAGTCACCTCACCTTTGGGGCTTACCACAGGAGTCTCTTCAAACGATCCTTTAGACTGAAGTGAAGAATCAAGATTAATGCACTTCCACGTCTTGCCCAGGCTCTGGGGGGAAAAGTCTTATAATTAACACCAGGGGGGCTGCAGACTGCTTTTGGAAAGAGGTTAAGGGTGGGGTACCGCAACCATAGGAAAAAGAGCTGATAAAGGTGTAAGATTTTTAGAGTGTGATATATGCTGCTGCTTTGGAACAACAGTGTGGTAACAGAATGACCTGTCAGACACCTCACTCTGGCTTATTGTTATTGGGATAAAGTGGAAAAGCCCATAGCAAGAGCTGCTGCATTACTCCATCATTCATAGTGATCATTGTTATATGTTCTGATCTATTGAATTATCTCTGCACGGGACCAGGGCCCCCCTCCCCCTTAGATCCCAGCACAGGCCTGTGCCCACAACTCTTTTTAACAGTTTCCAGTTAAGTAACTGTCTGCGCCGATTTCCAGAGAATATGACACGTATGTAATCCTTTATCACTTATTGTTTTCTTGACAAGAACCAGAGGAGAAGATTGATAGCATTCTTCCATCTGTAAGTATGAAGCTATGGCCAGCTTGCTTCCCAGTTCTTCTAGAGCTCACTTTAGAGCACTTATATTTAAAGTATGGGTTTTGTGCAGGTCTACCAAAGACAACATAAGGTGTTAATAGATGCTAGTAGGCAGATTTTGTTACTGCCACTCTTTCTTTCCGACCCTTTTTCTTATTTTCTTGTCCTATAAGGTGCTCTAATGCGGGACTTACAGTATTTAGTAATTATTTTTAAATTAAGAATAGAAATTTTTAATGTTAATGGTACTTCTTTTTAGTTCAGACAGGGCCACACTCATAAGCCCAACCATGTAGCTTGCTTCATACGTCCTTTATTCCTGCTGCTCTGTGCTCACCTCATCACACTACATTGCCCAGATACACTGAAATTCATCTCCTTCCTCCTCATTGTACATATTGTATTTCTTTCATTCAAATGGTTTAAATCTCAGTCTCTGGGATGTGATCTCAGGGACAGTCAATGACAACATATGTCATTCTAAAATAAATGGTGAAATCTGACTTAAGAGTTCTGCCTCAAGTAATGCTTATGTCACGAACTCTACAGCTTATTTTTAAAAGAAGGTGCTGCAAAAAAAAAAGAGAGAGGTAATAAAACACTGAACTTTTTTAGTACCTTATTTAGAGTCACATTCCTCATACTTTACTCGAAGGCAGTGCATTTACATGCATGGTTAGGCCTAATAATAACAGCCTTTTGTGGGTCTTCCCACACTGATGATAGTAACTGCTATTTAAATATATTTCACAGCATACAGTTTTTGTCCTGCCGTAACCCTGGCATCATCTTTACATTAGAAGCTTCTAGGGTATCTACTTAAAAATAAATATAAATGTACTTTTAAAGGCAGAGATGTCTAACCTATCATAATTATTCATTCTTGTGCAAAGAAAGCGTCATGATGTGTTTATCATCCGGTAACATCTTTTAAGTATCACCAAGGTTTAGCTGCTTCCTCGTTATTCTAAATTCGTCTCCAAGGTTATTCTCAGTGGTTTTCTTCCACAGCGCTATGCCTGATCTTTGTCTTTGATTGATATTCTGATTGTTCTTGTGTTGCTTGTTATTAACTTGAAGTTTCATGTTATTCTTTTAGGGAGAAGTTACCAATGACAAAAATGAAATGGAGCTTATTTTACTGTAAATGAGGAATGAAATGGGCACAGTGTGGATTTAATCAATCATTAGATTGAACCCCCTCTGCAGCTGTATCATTCAAGTGAATATCCTCCTGTAGCCCCAGTAAATCTGTGGTTCCTTGTGTCTCAGGGTTTGGGTTGCAGGAGTGGTTTTGCCTTGCCAGGGCCCCTCTGGATTCTCAGACAGAAGCTGTTAATTAAACATTTAAAGTGGATCTTACTTTTTGATTACCGGTGGACAGCTTGTTATTTTGCAAGATTCTACATTACTGTGGTGTAGCTGTACATTCACTGAACAAAGGGTGCTTTTATTTCACCTCTGGGCTCAAAAGCTTTGATGACTTTGAAAAACACATCTTCAGAGAATGTGTATGTCTGACTCTAAGGGCAGATTTGAATCAGTTGAAAAATCTGTTGTTCATTTGGTTGATGGATATGTTAGGAAGTCAGATTACACTCTGACAGGGAGCAAATAAAATGGATCTTCTTGTGGCAAGCTTTACAATTTGCAAAGATTCCTATCATTCATAATGACAGTCTCTACAACTGTATCAGTTGTTGCTCTGACATTTTGGAGCTGTTAGCAATACCCTTAGGGCTTTCATTTAGGATTTATCCACATCACACCAGCTGTCATGTGTAAAATATAATAAAAGGATGATAATAACCATTAATTAGGAGGTAGGAGCAGCTTGCTAACAGGACTATTTTTGTACTTCCTGTGATGAAATTTATAGTGAGGGCTTCAAACACCACAATACATCTGCTTATTGAGTGCACAGAGTCAAAGCTTTTCAAGTTATATTCTATCTGAAACAAAAGTAGATTCATGACGGGTTTAGACGGCCAAAGTCTTAGTGGTACAGAGAGCACACAAGTCAGATTATTAGACCCTCTCAGAGTACATTCATCTTAGCAGGAAACATAAATGAAAATATCTGTCTTCAATATGTTTATTTAGGAGTCCAGCAGATGTGGCTAAATTGACTATTGCATCTAAAAACTGAACCTCTAAGTGTGTAGGCAACTATACTGCCTTTAAAAGCTTCAAGTAGAAGAGCGTCATGTGTGACATAATTAAATTCCTCCCAAGTTAATTCATACTGTTTAATGATGCAGGGAGAACAGTTTCTTTCGCTGCGCTAGCAGTGGGATGGTCCACGGGGGCCACGAGTAAGGGGAAGTTCAGGAAGACACAGAGAGGAGGATAGAGAGAGACTTGTAGGTTGTAACAGTGTTGAAAAGACTAATTCTTACTGGTGTAACTGTTTATTTAATAATGTGAAATCCACTTGGGTTCTTTTGGCTCTTTCTTTGCAATTTTTAAATTATTACTGCCACTAATAATAACAATGACAATAGTGCTTTGAAAATTGTTATTTACTTGGTGTGAAGCTGACTCATCACTATTTGCATTAGTTATTTCGTTTCTGTGTTCTGCTGTGATCGTCACCTTTTCCACACTGAGCGGGCTGATGCCGATTTTCTTTTTGTGCCTTTTTTCAGGAGTCAGGACCAGATGGGGGGGAGGAGATGAGTCTGGCGGGTGATCCCACTCCACCTATCCATCAACCTGGAGACTATTTCCAGCATCCCCTACAGAATGTCAAAGCCTCGCTGAGCAGAAGACGAGTCCATCATCTTCTTTCGAAGACTTTCCCTCGAGTTTCCATCAAAACACATAAACACATCATGTGCCATTATTTTCTATTGCCCGTCCTCCCTTTCTGTCGACGGAGGGCCACGCGAGTGAGTGAATGCAGTTGAGTGGGTTGTGTTCTATGCAAAAGAGAAGCTCTATTTGAGAACTACAGGATGTGACAGGATCCTTTCTCTGTCGCTGAGATCACTCTGTATGGGTAGTGATGGGGCATGTGCCAGAGATCTCCTGTCTAATAGGAAGTGAGACACTTAAAGAGATGACCCTGCCTCAGTTGCTATCACTGTCTCTTGGCCAGGGAGAGAACTTGGCTCTCCCATTACTCCTGCACTTGCTAATTAGCGTCTGTCACTGGAGTAACTTGTACCTGTCAGTGTGTGCCGCTCTCCTATGTTCAGTAAGTTGAGGGAATTGAAATTGAATGCCAGCTAAGCTCCAACAAACTGCAAATGGTGCATGGGATACACCCTGATTTCCTCACTGACCTGACTGCCTTGTATGTAAGAATTTTTTTTTTTTTTTAATGAATTCAGACTATCACAGCTAGCTTCTACAGCTGGTGTTGAAAGTTTTATCTCGCCCAGGCCAGGGGTTGTGCAGGTTGTTTTATTGCAGTACTTAAGTAGATTCCTGTGCAGTACAGGTATGTCCATGTATGAATGTCAAAGCCATTTGTGTTTGATAACCGAATGCCTATTTACATTAAAGAGACAAGGTGAAACTGGCTGGTCATTGGTAATTATTGGTCCAGTTCCCAGGGCCACTGTGTGTTCGTTCAGGCAGAGCAAGGTCGCGTTTATTACAGACATTTCTTCTCTTCACTCACAGGATTAGCCACGCAGTTCAAATTTGTCCTTCCACTTTTCTATTAGTTGATATGTCTGCCGACTACCCTATTCTACATAATGAGTAAAACATGAATTATGGTCAAAGTAACACAAATATTTCATTTACATGCAGATCAACACTGACATGTTGAATTGTTCCCAGTTAGACGCAGTCCTATTTTGGGCCTAATCCCTCTCTGTTTGCAGATGCTCAGTCATCCCAAACATTTTACTTGTTTTGAATAATGGATTTTCTCTGTGATTGTTTGTTCCTGTCATATATAAAATAGCTACCTTGTATCAAGTCTGACTTGTAGAAGTGTTGCAGAAATACCTTCCCAGCACACCTAACCATACTGATACCCATACGGCATTCACAGGAACATGCGCGCACACACTGTGTCCTTTGCTTAAGCTGGCTGAGACTGTTGACCAAACCCCAGGTTGTGCCCAAATGCGCAGATCTCTCTGTACAGTAGCCCTTGACCTTGCTGTGTGTCCTCATAGCCCAGACACCCGCCTGAAATTAAATTACAGATTAGTGGCTCCAGGCCCAAAGAGGGGTTTATTTGGTTGGCCCTTCAGTGAAGCGCTCATTTTCTCATTCACAAACTGGAAAAGATGTTGTGGGATTTAAGGGAGAAAATTCCAGTCTTGAAGATATTTTCTTTCTTGTGACAGCGAGTGCTGCAGCCAGTGGTCACATAAAATTGAATTGTCTGCAAAGATTTCTAAATCTTACATTATAGGAGGAAGTGACAGAGGCTCAGCTGAACTCTGATGAAGCGTCGTCTCAGTAGGTCATAGTTACTTTTTGACCGTCCTGAATAGGATTTTAAAAAAAATATATTATTATTTTAGGGAAAACAAGAAAGGCAAATGTTACGCTAATTAAAAATTATATTCACTTCCAACTGCATTCACATACAGTTTGTTTGAAGGCAGAAAAAGTGTGTTAATTATTTTAATTAATTAATGTATTAATTTTATTAGAAAACTGCCTCATCTGGCTAAATTAGATGACCGATGCTCTATATTAGCTTTACTTACACAAAACTGATTTTTGTCCCCATCTTCTAGTACTGTTGCAGTAGTGCTAATACTTATTACAAAAAGATGATAAACCAATGATGCATCACATCAAAATTTAGACTTGTTTGGCTTCAGATTGAAAAAAGAGTTCAAACTGTGAGACCTAAATCTCTTCTGGTGCATAGACTCATGAATATGACCAATAATAATAATATGGAACCTTTTGTATAGTAAGTAGCATCTGTGATTTCAAGCAAAGCATCCCTGCTCGTGCCAGCTTCTCATTTGGCAGTGCAGTCCAGTTGGCATACTCAGTCATTTTAAAATTCTTTGTACTTGTTTTTTTTCCTTTGAAATATAATCTTTTTTTAAGAGTTGAACGCTCCCTTTCATCTGTGGTGATGACTACATGTTACAGTTACCATGCTTGGAATACTTCAGAGGTGACACGAGTGTTTATGAAGTCACTCAAACGAAATGAGGCACACTGATTTAGACGAATTCTGAATTGGGACAAATTCAGCATACTTTTAGATGACCTAACAGTTGCAGGTATTCTACGTTTCTACTTTGTCAATCTGCAAAGGCGCAGGAGAAACAGCTGAAGTTCTAGTACATAAGGTTTAAATAGTTGTGACACAGGCACACTTCATACCTTGTATATACTTATATGTTGGCTGTTTGTCAAGTCAAAAAGGAAAAGAAAACTTCACAATGAAAATCCAGTGAAAAATGTATAAATGTTGCTGTCAGTGCAGACAAGATGAAACCGTAACTTATTTAAAATAGTATCTATTTTTCAAAAAGCTCTCCCTCTTTTACTTTCCAGAGCACAGCGTGCCTCAGATTGTGGTCCAACCCCACAATATATTTATGTAAGCACTTCTGCTACTCAGCATTTAACTTAATTTGAACATGAGGTTCTAGGAAAGTAGTAATTTAAATGGGGACAGCTGTGCTCTTTAAATTTTAGTACATGGTAAATGCTCTTTTGGAAATGTACTTTCTATCCCTTTTGTTTAACAGATTCTTCTGCGTAAGCATCCTTTCATTACAACATGAATAATTTCTGTCACATCTATTAAAAGTAATGAGTCTAATAGGAAGAGGCAAATGGCAAATTCACCCTTTCATAGTTACTGGTGATTTGTATTCTGTTTGTGATGAAACACCTGAGGCCAGTGACTCCCAGTCCAAGTACTCTGGATCTAGAGTTCGGCTGATTTCAGTCTAATCATGAACTGATTCACACCAGGGACTGCAAGTGACTGCAATTAAGTTGGCTGTAGTAAAGAAAACCAGCTCTGCAACCAGGATTGAAGACTGCTGTTTAATTGGTTTATTCATGGAACCATGGGACAGGCCACTTCATCACAAGTTATCAAGATGCATGTAAATAATTTGTGCTCTAGCCATCGGTCAGCTACCCAGAATTTAAGCATAGCGTGTAAACGCCTACTAAGAATTCAGCTCACTGCGAGCGTCCTTGCATCATTTTTACGATCTGCTTGGTTTGTTCACCACTTAAGAAGAAAACACTGCCAGCATTTTACACTGTGTTTTATTTCTCCTGAGGAGGTTCAGCAGTGCATTTTGTATGCAGAGGTTGGAGCAAAACATTAAACAGGCAACTGCTGTGGTGTTTTACCAATATGCACTCTTGTAAGCTAAGACCAGCACTTCAGGAACAAAGCTGCTAATGGCTGTGATGTTTGATGAATTTTTGAGATGCTATTCAAACCATCGGCCTGCATCAAAATCCACAAAAGCAGGCTTAGTATTGTGTCAACTTCTATTAAAAGAGGCTTTGTGTTTATGTTAAATAGTAATCGAAATCCAATACATTGCACAACCAGACCAGACCTAGAAAGTACTTGAAGTTAACCTGAGCATAATGCATAATATATAATGTGTAGTGTAAGTGTAATGTTCTGTCAAAAGGCTCAACATGTTACTGCAGCTTTAAAAACTGCTACAACAGATGGGTTATTTAATTAATAACAACAATGGATTTTGGAGAATTTGAATGTAAAATACTGACATTTTTATTATATAAGTCAGGATGCTGTGTACACAAACCCAGCTGAACCATCTTGTTAGATATTTGTTAAAAAACAAACTCTTCAGGTCATAGTTTGTGTTGTGGATTTTCAAGGATGCATACCCAGCTGCGTCCTCAAGGACAAAAGAGTTTTGAGTTGAGGTTTTGAGGTTAGATCAAAATTCCTTGAATGGATCATTATGTGAAAGTGGAAGAGGAAACACGCAAACAAAATAAATTACTTGAAAGTAGCTGAATAACACTTCTCTGTGAATAACAAGCAACCTTACTGGGCATGAAATGCCAGTGCAAGGATTTAATGGAGTCAGAAAATCAAGGTTTTCTATTGGGGGGGGGCAGAAAAGCCAAGCTACAATGAAGGAGAACAAAAAGAAGCTTGGGTTGTTAGAAGTAAAGCCGTATTCCGAATTTTTCAAGAATACGAGCTGTGAATATGTACTGTAAAATCTTTGAAGGGATTTTTACACAGCTTTTCATAGTTTTCATAGCTTTACTGTTCAAAATATGACTAATATTTACAGAAAGGAATTGAATCAGGGATTTATACAGCACTTATTGTGTTCTTTGTACCAGGGATCTGTGGTAAGATTGAAATGAGCCTGAAGGCAAAGCTCTTGATTTAACTTGGATAGAAAATAAATTTGAAGATTCAAGACCAAAAGAAAGAAAAGGTATAAGGGGGGATAGGCTGAGGATATCGGATTTGAGTTGCACCACTGGGCTTTTGTTTTAAAATGAGCCAATTGAGGCCTCCAGTCAGTGGCCTCTACTGAATTCTTCCCTGTGGAGTCATCCTGAGGATATCCAGCTGGGAGGAAACCCACCTGGGCAGACAAAGAGCATGTTAACCTGGGATGGTCTTTGGATCTCCCTAGGTTCTGGGGTACGTAGCTGAGGATAAACACCACGTAACTACTAGAAGTAGATAATCAGTAAAAATGGATGAATCACTGGAGCCACACACTCGAGTCTTTGTGTTATCCTCTGTTGTCAGAATTGTGTTATTGGCTGCATATGTACACTACTCAAAAATAAGGGAATACTTTTGGCATTAATAAAATTAACAACATGTGCACTAGAGGGGCAACAATTAGAAAACCCCCAAAATAGAAAAGGTTTTGCAGGTGAAGGCCACTGGCAGTTTTTCCCTACATATTTTCTCTGACTGACCTCCAGGATGGCACATTAATATGTGCTGGTGCCAGAAGGTTTGCTGTGTCTCCCAGCACAGGCTAAAGATCATGGAGAAGATTCCAAAAGACTGGCAGTTACTCTTGGAGAGCTGTATAGCTGGCCATAAAAGGTCCCAAACCGTCAGTAGGACTGGTATCTGCTTCTTTGTGCGAGGAGGAACAGGACGAGCACGGCAAGGATCCTACAAATGGTCTGGTATGAATATGAATGTCACTGGTATGAATATTTCTGACCAAATAATCAGAAACCTCATTAGGGTGGCCTCATTAGGGCCAGTTGCCCAGCACTGTGGAGCCCAACTGGCTTTTGACATAGAATAGGAGGCATACCCAAACCATCGCTGCTTCACATGCAAAGACATCTACAAGCTAGCCAATTCAATCCTGACTTTCATTAGGTATCAGGATGAAATCACTGGACCCACTGTCAGACCCTATACTGGAGCAGTGGGTCCTGGGTCCCCCTGATGCACAATATGCAGGCAGTTCCTAGAGCAGGGGTCCCCAACTCCAGGCCTTGAGGGCCAGTGTCCTGCAATTTTTAGATCTCACCCTGGGTCCACACACCTGAATCAAATGATTAGTTCATTACCAGGCCTCTGGAG